ACTAACCCACTGCCCCTGCCTGCACTGTACTAACCCACTGTCCCTGCACTGTACTAACCCATGGCTCTGCACTGTACTAACCCACTGCTCTGCACTATATAACCCACTGCCCCTGCCTGCACTGTACTAACCCACTGTCCCTGCACTGTACTAACCCACTGCTCTGCACTGTACTAACCCACTGCTCTGCACTGTATAACCCACTGCTCTGCACTGTACTAACCTATAGCGCTGCACTGTACTAACCCACTGTTCTGCACTGTACTAACCCACTGCCCCTGCCTGCACTGTACTAACCTATGGCTCTGCACTGTACTAACCCACTGCCCCTGCCTGCACTGTACTAACCCACTGCTCTGCACTGTATAACCCACTGTGCTGCACTGTACTAACCCACTGCTCTGTGCTGGGCTAACTGTGGTCTGTGTTTGGCTGGCCTCTGCTTCTGCACTGCTCAGAGTATTTTTAGTGTCACTGCATCTATGGTGAGATAAGGACTTGACGTTGGTCGCCAGACCCCAAAGCCTATGACCCCCCCTCAGGGCTGCACTGTTGACAGGCAGTGGCAGGCAGACAAGACTACATCCGCTAACTACCCAGGAAAGGCTGTTACTGGCTTGAGTTCTGGGACTTAAACAGGATAGACATCTGTGCCCTACCACTAAGCCTCCCTCACCCATGGTATCCATGACCTGGGTTTGTCCTCTGCTCCGTGCCTGGTTCCCAACCTGCCTCCCTCCTCATACCAAGGGACACCATGTCACCTACTTCCACTCTTCACAGCCTCGCAGACCAGGCAGCACATGGAGTAGACGATGCAGGCGCTGGCTGCACTATCCACACCGCCACTCAGGGGCAGGAAAAACCCAGCCTGGAAGGGGCCAACCAAGGACTGTGTGAGCCAAGCTGCAGAGGGGCTCTGCCCCAGCCAATCTCCAGCCTAGCACCACCCTGTGAGTCCCAGAGTCCTACAGGAGCACACGGCCCAGCACCATCTCTCGGGGTTGCGGGGGAAGGGGGCAAATGACCCACTTGTATGACAGGTTTCCTAAAGGGCAGAGATGCCACTGGATCCCAGGCTGCCTTTCTGGCCCTAGATGAGTGTACATCAGGGGATCTGAGAGTTCCCCTGCCTTTCAAGAGTTCCATAGACCATCATACAGCTTCAAAGTGGGCTTCACCCATCTGGCCTTTGGCCAGTTGAGATACACTCTCCCAAAGAAGAACACCACTCTCTCATCCTAGCTTCACACACCAACCAGGAGACACACGGGGGTGGGTAGGAACAAAACACCCTACCTGTTTGCTCCTTCGGAGGAAGTCCCAGAGCCAGCAGGCAGGCCCGAGGCTGCAGGAAATACTAGAGCTGAGTCTGGAGGCACAAGCCTGGCTCACTGCATCTCTAAAAATGCATCCCAGAAAGCAGCACAGAGACGCAGCCCTGAGCCTGGGCTCTTGCCGGGCCATCTGCTACAAGCACTGTGTGTCAACCTGGGCATTTCAATTCTGAAACCAGTCTAGGAAACCCCCAGAGATATCCCACGTGAGATGGGGACACAGAGGCCTGGCACTGGGCCTCAGAGCTTAAGGACGTAGTATAGGGAGACTACTCTGAGCAGAACCAGGCAGCCCGGCCTCAACAGCTAAAGTGAGTCTTTTACTTTTGACAGGGTCAGTCTCACTGTGTAGCAATGGCTGTCTTAGAACTCATGAGGCGGCAAGCACTGTGTCTTTAACCCCAGCAAAGCACAGGGTCTACCCTAGGCAGATTTTGGGAATCTTTGCAGCCCCCACACCTTACAAACCTTAGCAGTCACTGGGACAGTGGTGTCCAAAAAGCAACAGGATCCAGAGTCAGGGGGCACCCACCTTATCTCCTCCTCGGGACTGTGGTATGTCCACTCCACAGGTTCTGACACCGGTTCCAACAAGTCCTCACTGACCGAGAGGGCAAAATCCACATTCACCCTGGGATACGGGCTCACCCTGCTTGCCTGTTGGGGGAGGACATCAGGACACAGTTACAGCTGCAGTCGGAAGCCTTCACGGGTGAGGGATGGGACTCTAGCAGTCATGTGAGACACAGACAAGCTCATGGGAAGTTAGGATGGACTGATCGAAGCACCCTGACAGGTGCTAACCAGGGCTTGCAAGGGCAGAGGCATTACAGGCCTTTCCCGGTGCTGCGGAAATGGGGTTGGGGGCAGCCACTCAGGAGAGCAGTCTAATAGTTCTTTAACAGCCTGAACATGAGAGCCTCACGTGAGCCAGAGGACTCACTCCTGGACAGATACACCCAGGGTATTCAAACCCATGCTCATTCAAAACTCAGGAGGAGGGGTGGGCACCCAGTGTACAACCACTGGGTAGAGTACTACTGTACCCTGAAAAACAGCAGAGCCCCACTACGCTTTCACATGGTGGACCCCAAGGATGCTATACGTAGTCAGAAGAACCGGGTACACCCTCAGTTCAGTACCATCTCTGAAGTCCACAGCATACTGGACCACCAGCAAGGCCCTGTTGAGCACTCAGGCTGGTGTTTCTCCCATGGTGCTTACCTCCAGGTTTCGAGATGAGATCTCTGCCCTGTAGCTCCGGACATCCTCCAGGTCCAGGGTGGCAGTGAGGACCTCCTGGGTGGGAAAGCAGAGGGAGAACACAGGACTGCTGTCCCACATGAATGGGTCAGACCTTTCACAGCAGGGGCTAGGCATCCAATGCCCCATAGCAAGGTGAAAGGCACTGCTACCCTCCTGAATTTTTTCTCCTTTTAAAAAATGTATTTTAAATTATGAGTATGTGTGTGTCTGTGCACATAAGTGCAGTTTCTGTAGAGGCCAGAAGAGGGCACTGGATTCCTGGTGCTGTAGTGACACTGCAACCTGAACTATCTCTCCAGCTGCATCTCTGTCTGGCCGACACCATAACCCCAACTACACTTAGAAATCTCCCAGTGACACCCCCCTCCCCAGTTATAGCAGGCAACACAATTCTATCAGTGACTGGGGTAAGGGTGGAGCTTCAGGAAATATGTTCTTTTTTACTTAAAAGACACACAGAAAGCAACGCTTCCTCCAGCTCTGCACATAGTGACTTATAGATGGAATGGCTGGAGCCACTGTAGCCATTCTATGACCAGAAAATGAAGTCAACGCAGAGGAAGATGGAGGGGAGAACAGCACGGGGAGTGGCATGGCAGTGCACGCCCAGTCTTCCAGGAGCTGAGCATGCGGCTCGCCAGCCCCTCTGAGGACCGTGTGGCCCCTGAGGTGGATTTGTGCAGGGCTGTCCTCTATGTCCTCACGCACCCTGCCAAAGGATTGTGACGACACTGCTACCCTGTCCCTCCTCTGTGCTTCCCATCACTCAGGACCCATGTGGGATGTGATGGTTAATGCTGATGGTCAGCTCGATACAATGTAGAATCACCATGGAAACCAATCTCTGGGTATGTCTGTGAGGGAGTGTCTAGATTGGGTTTGTTGATGTAGATGTAATCTGAATGTGGGTGGCACCAGCCTGTGGGCTGGGGTCCCAGACTGAATAGAAAGTAGAAAGTGAGCTGAGCACCAGCCTTCATCTCTATGCTTTCCACTATGGATGTGCTGTGACCAGCTGGCTCACACTCCCGCAGCGACGCCTTCCCACCGTGATGGACTGGTAGCCTCCAACTGTGAGTCAAAGTAAACCCTTCCTCCCCAAAGAACTTCTGTCAGGTATTTGTCACATGAGTGAGCAGTTACTAATGCAGGGTACAATCCCCCTTTAACATGTGCTGTCCAGGCCATGGAGAAACTGATAGGTCTTGAATAGGCCAGATGCCCCTGAGGATAATGTCCCCAGTTAAGTCTGATGGTCACCATCCCTTTTAACAGGACTAGGCCTAGTGTCTTCTAATCCCTGATTGGGGGGCTTTATCCTGCCAGCCTCCAAAATGAGTCAAATACACTCACTAGCCCCTGTATGAAGTCAGGCGGCCCTGTGTTCCAGACACCATGGTATCTGCCCCAGTGTGCTTACAATAGCCTGGGGTCCTCCTCCCTAGCTCATGCCCAGCGTGGACATTTTTCTCTGCTCTGGGTTCCATCAAAACCTGCCCTACGGGGATCTCTCCTCACAGTCAGGGGAGGGGAAACTCTACAGATGAGCAGTTAACTGACAGGACAGTGTGAATGCAGCTCCCCATCCCCATGCTTGGCTCATTACCACATCATCCAATGAGAATTGAGTGCCCTGGGCAAAGATACTCCCGTTCATGGCAATCATGGCACAGCCATCGTAGTAGAGACGGTCACCGTCGCAGCCCTTCTGGTTGGCTAGCAGGTAGATGCCACCATTCTAGAAGAAGCAGAGGTGACAGTAGGGCTATCAGTGCTTTATATAACCTGTGACTGCCGCTAATGACTTCCCAAGCTGTCATCGGCATCTAGTCTCTGACAGGGACAGCGGGTGCAGGTGGGGACACAAAGCCCTATAGCTCCAATTCATGTGGCCTTGCCAGATGTGCTGTGATTTCCTCGAAACCGAAAAGTCAGAAAGTCAATAATGTACAAGTCTCAGGAAGTTCCTGAAACTTAGCAGATGTACGAGGCCTCTCATCTCCAAGGTCACATAAGCAGTAAGAACTGCTAAGAGGCTCTCAGACCAGCCAAGCTGCCTAGCAGAGACTCTCTGATCTGTCAAACTGCCTGCAAATTGTGAAGGGAGCTCCAGGGTTCCAGTTCCTATGAGCTGGTGGTCTTGTTACTTTGGTCTATCGTTGGCTTACCACAGTGAACTCTGGTGGTCTTGTTACTTTGGTCTATCATTGGCTTACCACAGTGAACTCTGGTGGTCTTGTTACTTTGGTCTATCATTGGCTTACCACATTGAACTCTGGTGGTCTTGTTACTTTGGTCTATCATTGGTTCCCTACCTGGAGTAAGTGGACCTGTTAGGTCTTCCCTGAATAATGTCACATGATACCAGGTGTCAGGTACCCCATAGGACATCCACTTTTACTGTCCCTCAGCCCTTAGTGCAGTGCTGTTGTCCCTATCTGGCAGGGCCACTGCAGCTAGAGCAATGTGGTGGGGCAGCATTGAGTGTCAGGGCCACCAGACGCACTGGTGACCTTGGGTGACCTCTGTGAGACCCGGATGTTATCTCCTGTCTGTGCCCATCTTCAACCTGGGGCATGTCTATCTGCTCCAAGAACTAACAGTACTGTCAGGTGCATGCAAGTTGGCATGTGTTTCCATGACAACCATGGACAGGAGCACATCCTCACAACAGTGTCAACAGAATCTGTTTTGTATGATGGCAGTTAGGGCCTGGGGATACAGGAAGAGAAACCTGGGAGGGATCAAGCATGTGTATGGACTACAGCTTCAAACCACAGCCTGAAGTATGCACCAGAGGTGGCTGAGCCCTGCCCCAGGTGCCACTGCTCTTGGAGGTTCCTCTGATGGAACCTTAACTTGTGACACTGCTCATTCATCCTGCCCAATGCCCACCTTGGAGGTCGCCATGGCCACCAGATCCACCCTGGTATGGGCTTTACGTAGCACGTGGTGGCTGCCCGAGGCGTTGGTGATGATCTCCACACCATCCAGGCCCATGTCGATGTGAGGGCTGTGGAAAGAGGCAGGCAGAATGACAGCTGGGCTCCTGTGGCCCCTCAGCTATTTAGGGGGACCTCCATGGTTAAGGCCATGACCTCAAAGAGGCTGCAAAGTCTGGGTCCTCCCACTGGTCAGCCCTGGATGGGGAATGGATGGCAGAGAGTCAGCTGACCTGCGCGGTGTCCAGAGTTCTTCACAGACCTCACTCCCAATACAAGTGTCCCTGGTGGCAAGTACCACGTCTCCGAAGGGAACGGTTTTCTGCAGTGGAGAGAAAAGACCACTTTAGACCTCAGGGCTGCTTACTGGGCTACACACTGGCCTCCGACATCTTGAAGGCTACCATACTGTGCCAAGCCCTCGCTAAGGCTTTCCTCACCGTGGGTGTGCTGAGTTCCAGCATATTTGACTCCTGCTGACCCCAGGCTCTCCCATTTCCCTACACATAACCACAAGCCACACAGCTTTACTGCGGCGGCAACAGGTCCTTTTCTCCACTCCATCTCCTGCTACCAACAATGTCACCATTCACAAAGGCTGCAAGTAGAGTGAGGACCCCAGGCCCACAGTGCAGCAAGAGGGACAAAGCTCAGAGAGATGCCCATCACCGGCTGATTGTGGCTTCCTAGAACGGTCCCTGAATCTGCCTACCTCCACTCAGGGCTGACTCCTGCAGCCGGGCTTGCAGTCAGCTCTCCAGTACTCAGCGTGGATTCCACTCTGAACTTCCCATCTACCCAGCTATGCTCTGACTCTGCCCACCCGTAGCCTGCACTGGCAGGAAGCCCTGGGAAGGATGCACCTGCTTTGTCAGGTCCTGTAACATCCGAGGGAGGACATACTCCTCAGTTTGCCTGGAAGGAAAGAATCAAAGCATGGCAAAGCTGAGATGAGGTCCTGGGACACAGGAAGCATGGTGTAGGCATGGACCCTCCATCTCACCATGCCAGGCTCCTGAGAGTGTTGTGTCCTCAGAGGCAAAGCCACCCATTCGCATAGAGACCTGTGACAGACACTGGAGTACTCATGCATACTGGAGTGTCTCTGCCTCTCTGTTTTCTGAGAGACTTTGAGAGAGCGGGACTGGAATCAGGCTATTGTTCCAAGGGAGAAATTGGGGATCTTCCCAAGCCTGGGAAAGTCCTGCAATGTTTACCTACAGACATAACCACACCTACCTTACCAATGAGACAACAGGGTCATACTCCACAGCCTTTAACATGCAGAGTATTTACCGCACACGGCTTTGGTCTACAGGGTCTCACCCTCAAACAAGCCACTACCCGGTACACTGCTTAGATGCCAAATGCAGACTGCTCTGTGCTTTCTTAGAGCTGGTGGCCCATGGGCACACTGCCAGTGGTTCTTCTATTTAAGCACAATGCCGGAAGTCATAGAGCTGAGTGGACAAGGCCTCTCCCGCCCATCAACACAGGGAACAGAAACAAGATGCCCCAGACCTCCTCACGGTCACCACGTCCTAGAGGAGTCCTCTATCCCCATCTGTAGGTCAGGAAGCAGCAATGTCGCTAAACCAAAATGCTGTTGAGCTGTAAGTACATTCATCCTCACCTTTACCAACTCATGCAAAGACCCACTCGGTACTGGTCTACTGCCCTAGCACTGGACTATAGGATCAGCTCCTACTTCAACAAACCACAAAACAGAACACTAACAAAATACCCGCATTGTTACATGAAATAAAAAGCTACTGGGTGAATGGCCCAATGTACGTTATAGGAAAATGTGGTCTTTGCACTCTGCTATATTTATGGGTCACCTAAGGACAGACCCAAACAATGTCCCAGAAGGGCAGAAAGGTGCTAGGAAGGCCATTTCCTTTTACTTCATTTTTATATTAATTTATTCATTGTGTGCAAAAGTACATGGGTGTGCACATGCCATAGTGCTCGTATAGAGATTAGAGGACAACTTTCAGGAACCAGTTTCTTCTGGATATTTTTAAAAATGTATATTTATGTGTGCAGGTGTGTGTGTGTGTCTGCCTGTGTGTAGGAATGTGTATATGAGGCAGGTGCTCACAGAGACAAGAAGAGGGCATCAAATCCCTTGGAACTCAAGTTACAGACAGTTGCAAGCTGCTTGTGGGTGCTGGGAAACGAACCCAGGTCCTCAGGAAGAACAGTCAATGCTCTTAATCCCTGAGTCGCCCCCCAGCCCCTCACTCTTAATTTATATTATTTTTCTAGACAGAGTCTCACTGTGTAGCCCTGGTTGGTCTGGAACTATGCAGAACAGGTTGGACTTGCATACACAGAGCACAGCCTGCTCCTGCCTCCTGTGTGCTAAGATTAAAGGTGTGCGTCACTTATTCTTGTGTTGAGGGAACTTTTAACCATGTTATAATTGGATAGTATAGCACTCTCATAACACATCCAGAGCACAGAGAAAGAAAACAACTTTATAATATTAACACCAAAACAAAACACAAGAGACACATCCCTCCCCTAATAAAACAAAAAAGAAATCTCTAACACAATGCTGGCATACAAGTCTAGAAACTGAGCTAATTTCTGAATAAACTTTAACAAATTCAATCCAAGTTTTTGTTTGTTTGTTGTTTTGTTTTTTCAAGACAGGGTTTCTCTGGGTAGCCCTGGTTGTCCTGGAACTCTCTCTGTAGACCAGACTGGCCTTGAACTCACAGAGATCTACCTGTCTCTGCCTCGTGAATGATGGGATTAAAGGTGTGTGTCATCACTGATCGGCTGAATCCAAGTTTAATATTCCACATTCACTTGAATTTAAAGAAGGGCACAAAGGTTTACTCTCTCTGTTCATCTGACATACATGGGAAAGACACTGGGATTCAACATTTATTCTCCATTTTTAAAAGGCAGGGCCGGAGAGATGACTCAGCAGTGAAGACCTGATTTCCCACCCAGCAGTTGTGAATGGCAGTTAACAATTGGCTGTAACTCAGGTCCAGAGGATCCGTGGCCCTCTTTTGGCCTCTGTAGGCACACACACACACACACACACACACACACACACACACACACACACAGAGAGAGAGAGAGAGAGAGAGAGAGAGAGAGAGAGAGAGAGAGAGAAAGAGAGAGAGAGAATTAAAAATATACATTTTTTTAAATTCACAGTAAAAAACAAAGGGTGGTGAGACATAAGTCTAAAGCCAAATGGAAAAACTCAAGGAGATTTCTGGTTAGTTGGGAGGAAGGCAAAAAGCCAAGCCTTCTATCCTAGGAATAATCTAGAATGTTGTAGAAATGCTGTCTGGCGAAAGTGAAGAGGATGGGCTAAGAAACATAAATACGGAAAAAAGTCGCATCAGGTGCACATTACTTAAAGTTCTACTTGACGGAGGAGAGAAGGAAGTCAACACAATCACAAGACAGGACCAGAATTCACAAGGCCATCAATATACAGCAACCCTCAGAATCCAGTGGTTTTCCTAGATCATCTGTCAGCCACTTAAAGAATCCTGCTACGACCCTGTTCACAAGGGCAATTGCCAGTTATAGATGGGGATAGCTGGTGGTTTGAGTAAGAATGGCCCCATAGGCTCATATATTTGAATGCTTAGAGAGTGGTACCATTTGAAAGGATTAGCAGGTATGGCCTTGTGGAGGAAGTGTGTCACTGCGGGTGGGTTTTGGGATTACAAAAGCCCAAGCCAGGCCCAGAGTCTCTCTCTTCTTGAAGCCTGTGGATCCGAGTGCAGAACTCAACTGCTTCCCCAGCATATCTGCCTGCGTGCCACCTCTGAAACTCTAAGTCCCAACAACATGCTTTTTTTCATATGAACCACCATGCATGGTGTCTCTTCACAGCAAAAGAACACTAAGACTACCCTAAAGCACAGAACAGGGCTTCCCAACTGGGGGGATTTTGTACCCTAGGAAATATTTGGTAGAGCCTGGGACGATGGGTTTTTGCTTTGTGATAGGGTCTTGTGTTCCCCAGGCTGACATGGAGCTTACTAAGTAGCCAGAGTGTCTTTGAAGTCCTGATTCTTCAGTCTTCACTTCCAAGTGCCAGGATGATGGGTGGACACCACTATGTCTACCTAGTTTATGGGGATTTTGGCTAATGAACTCTACTCAGGTTGGGGCGCCTCTGCCTCTGTCCACCATATACCACACAGGACAGACCCCTCAACTCAAAGAATGAACTGTTCCCAAAGGTCAAATGGCTACGGTGAGAATCCTTGCTCTAACGGACAACTTGAGACACAGTGTCCCTCCACTTAAGAGTGACCAGTGACCACTGACTGACGGCTGAGGTCTTATGGTGTCTACTGGCTCAGATGTGAATAGAGAGCATGGAATCAGCCATGTCTGAGTGGCAGGAATAGTCCTCCCACCCCCACAGTGTTCTGTGGCTCACCTCCCAGCTGAGGCTGTTGTGCCTAGTGTCTAGTGAACACTTGGCGTGTGGTCCCAACGCATGGCAGCCGAAGCACCCAACACTCACCGGCTCCTGGACCAGGGGGTGAACCAGCGTAGCTCCCGGTAGTTGCCTTCATTGGCCAAGGCCATCTTGGGCCTGATGAGGAGGATCTTCCTACAGTGGGTGAAAGGACTGATCATACCAACCTCCTGGGACAAGTAGGATAGGGTGAGGTCACTGAGCTGGTTCAAGACCAGGGCCCTGAGAAAACCTGTTGTGTTTTTTCTCTAGGCTTAAGCTTTCTGCTTGGGAAAATAAAAGGTCTCTATGACTCCATTAGCCAACAAGTGTACTTTGCTGGAAGCTGGCACACGCGTGGGTTTGTATGTGTTGGGTGAGGGGTGGCCAGAAGACTTCCCTCACCTTTATTGTCTAGGTGACAAGGATAAAAAGCCCAAACAAACCCAACCTTGGGTCTCTTCCTCTAGCCTGAGCGAGGGTGGCTGAGGCCCAGAGATGGAGATTCATAGCAGTTGCTGGGACAGTGTACTGTGCTCACGCAGGACACCCCTCAAGATATCCCCCACCTGAGCCAGGCACAGGCATGCCAGCCACCCGCCTCCCACAACCTCACTTACCGGTTGAGAAAGATGACTCTGCAGTTGTAGCGAACATTCCGGTGCATCACAGGCCTGCAAACAGGAGGGAGGAGGCGTGTCTGCAAATCTCGCTGCACAGGAGCACAGCAAGAAGAGGCAGTGGCGCTAACTACAGAGTTAGGTGTTCTTTGCTGTGTGTATACAGGTGCACTCCCATGCACACACAGGTGGACACCGAAGGTCCTCCTTATCCAGCTCCACCTTGTTTTTTAGTATTAACTTTTACTTTAGATTTTGTGTGTGTACATTCATGCATGCATGTGTGTATGTGCACACATAGGTACGCACGTATATATCTATACACACACATCTACATACATACATACACCAATCTGTGTGCATATGTGTATGTATGTCCACATGCACATGTGTATGTATGTCCACATGCACTTGTGCATGTGTGTACAGATCTCCTAGAGCTGCAGTTACAGGTGGTTGGGACATACAAGTACATGGAACTGAACTCGGAGTGTACACAGCATGTGCTCGTAACCATTAAGCCATCTCTCACTTTATTTTTTGAGACAGGGTCTCACTTATCCTGAAGGCTCACAAAAGCAACCCCAGAGACCCTTCTATCCTACCTCCCAGCACTGGGCTTTCAAAGGCATTCTGATGCGCATGATTTTTCACATGGGTCCTGGAGCCCAACTCAGGTCCTCACACCTACAGTCCTTTATGCTCAGAGAATTCCCCCAGCCCTTGGGTGCTTTGTATTGGTATGAGGTTCCCTTAGATCTTTAGAGAAACCCTCAGCGTTCTTCTGTAGCTTTCAAATTCAACAGATGTTCTGAAACGAGGCTCCCTCTTTTAAAATGTCCCAGAGCTTAGGGTGACTGCTTCCATCACTGCTTGCCTCTGCTGCCTCCTCCCCTAGCCAGAGGCTCACCTGCCCTAATGCTTCCTTCCAAACAGGATCAGAGGTAGGATATAAGCAGGGGTACCCTGTCTTTCATCTGTCAACTCCCCTAGCCCTAGCCATGGCTCATGCACAGCCACTATAAGCAGTTTGGATCATCACGGCTTCTAGTCCTCTCTTAAGCCAAGTAAAGTGCATTCAAGGATGGGAATGATGTGCTTCCATTTGTGCAATGGATGCAGAATACTAGATGATTACATAAGGCAGGGCCTCAGACAACATGCTTCAGCCCAGCCCTCTGGAGGTGGAGGCAGGAGGATCAGATGCTTGATGTCAAACTCAGCTACACGTAGTTCAGGGGTAACCTGGGTTATGTAAGAGCCTGACTCAAAGAAACCAAACCTGGTTGGTGGTAAAATGGCTCCAAGAGGTAAGGGACTTGCTGCCAGGGCAGACCACCTGAGTTCCAGCCCTGGGACCCACGTGGTGGAAGGAGAGACCGACTCCCACACACATGCTGTGGTATATAAGCACACACAAAATAAATAAATACAACAAAAAATTAGAAAACCAAACTAAAATCCAGAACTAAACTAAACACAACAACAACAAAAATGAACAACAAAAAAATGTAACAGGGTTTTCTAGCTAGAAGAGGCATTTAAAGAAGAACAGACATCACCAGATAATGATCAGAACTGTCACCACACAGACATTTTCAAGTTTAGCCAGAAGGCGGAACACAGGAAACACTTCATGTGAGAGTATGTTGTGGTCTTCCATATACAAAGAACTCTCCAGCCGGGTGGTGGTGGCGCACGGCTTTAATCCCAGCACTTGGGAGGCAGAGGCAGGCGGATCTCTGTGAGTTTGAGGCCAGCCTGGTCTACAAGAGTTAGTTCCAGGAGAGGCACCAAAGCTACAGAGAAACCTTGTCAAAAGAAAAAAAAAAGAAATAAGAAAAAAAAGAAAGAAAAAGAAAAAAAAAGAACTTTCTAAACAAATAAGACAGCTGTATTCAGAGCTCCAAAATAGGCAACTCTACAATGGCACACAACGACCACCAACTAGGAAAATGCTGAACTCCTTGGGTAATAGAGCAAATCAGGGCTGGGGCAGAGGCTCCACGGTGCATAGCACTTGTTGCTCTCGCAGAGGCCCAATGACAGGGACCACTATGCAAAGAGGTCAGACCACTATGGTCAGACACACACACTAGAAGGTTCTAGGCCATTGTGCTGGGTGAAGCCATACTTGAGAAAGCCAGGCCACTCAAGGCTTCATGGATGGTATGTCCCCAGGAGCAGCTCCCACAAAGTCACGATGAAGAAAACTGTGGCAGGATGAACATTTAGCTTGCATTTGTGTAGAGTGTGCTTGTGGGTGCCCAGAAACCCCTGGAAGAACTCAGAAACTGCTTCCAAGAGTTGTTGCCTTGGGGAGGTTAAGCGGCTACAGAGCTGAGCAAAACTGACATTCAACATGGAGGTTTTAATGTCCCACTCAGACCCCATGACTCTGATAAAGGGGCGCTGGGTGTCTTGAACTTGCCTTTCTTCCGAGCGTCCCCTTCCACACCCGCACACTGGCACTTACATGCCCACATCACAGATGATGTCCTGAGTGATGGAAGAATCCAGAAGGGCAGCCAGGACTTGGAGCGAATGCAGGAGTGTGTCTGACTCGTGATAATGGTCCCAGCATCCATAGCCACTGAGGAGAGAGGGAGCAGGCCAGTGAAGGGCCAGGAGTGGCCAGGAGGGGCCCAGGGATACCATGACGGTTGGGTCAAGCACCAGGTTTTCCAGAGCTTTCCAGGTGAGTGAGTTGTTAAGAACAAATTCAATGAGGGGCACAGATAGAATGGGAGAGAGTCAGGATTCTATGGAGAGACATCAGACTAGAGAACAGGTTAACCCAGGAGGATAGAGGAGGATGCCTTGGGGCTGATATAAAGTGTGGGAGAGAAGTATGTCTGCTTCCCTTATATCCAGACATTAGTGCAGCAGTTCTCAACCTTCCTAACACTACGACCCTTGAATACAGTTCCTCATGTTGCAGTGACCCCCAACCATAAAATTATTTTGTTGCTATTTCATGACTATAATTTTATTATGTTATAAATTATAATGTAAATATCTGTATGTATCCCCACCCCTAGCAAAGAGGTCTCAGCCCACAGGTTGAGAACTGCTGCATTAGAGTAAAGTAGGGAGGGGGACAAAGAGGAGAGGACAATCTGGAACACACGGCTGGTCAGGAGCCTCAAAGACAGACAGGTACCCCAAACCAGAGAGGAGCTGTAGCTGGTAATGGCCACACAAGGGAGTGGCCTAGCAAGGGGACAGAAGAAATCAAATCATCAGTTTCTCGGACCATTAAAAAATGCTGGGATGAAACCTCTTTATGGCCAAATAGGTAAATGAAAACATGGGGTTAGTGAGATCTTGGCTCAGTGGGTCAAGGCATTTCCCACCATGACTGATGGCCTGGGTTTGATGCCCCAGACCCGCACACCCCTACACACACACAAAATGCACATGTTCCCAAATAAATGCCATAACTTTTTTTTTAAGGGATTAGAGAGATAGCTCACTTGCTCTTGCAAAGGACCTGGATTCAATTCCTGCAGCCACACGGTGGCTCACAATCGCCTGGCTCACAACAACCGATTTCAGGGGATCCAACATGCTCTTCCTGCCTCTGTGGGCACTCGTCATGAAGTTGCTGCACAGAGAGATGTGCAAGCAAAAGACCCATACACACAAAACAAATAAATTTAAAATTTTTCTTTTTAATTAAAAAAGAAAGAAAACAAAAACCGAGGGAGGTGTCTCAGTGCCATGTAAGATACCACGGGATCCCACTGCAAACAGCCGTGGGGCTGCAGCTGCAAAAATCATGGCGTCTATAGAACTAGTGTCTGCTACAGACTGCTCCCTGCTTCAAATATGGTACCTGCATCGCTCCTCAGCATTTTGGCTCAGAGCAGTTGCAAAGAGGGCACCTTGCAGGTGGCCTTATATGGGGGAGGCAAACAGGCTTCCTGGGGCCTTGATATAAAATGCCATTCATGGTGATTTAATCCCCTCTCCCAAGCCCTGCCTCTCAACACCACCACCCCGGGACCAGCTTTCTACAGAAGAGTGTTGGAGAGACATTGAAACCACAGCATCGGCGAAGGTGAAACAGCCTGGCTTTGAATGCAGCCCCAGCCTGGTCCAACCTCGTCCCTCTATTTGCCCACTAGAAGCCTGGAGTCATCCAGCCTTCACCACCTGCCCTGGTCCAGTCCCACTCTCAAGTTGCTGACATCCTAAATGGTTTGCATTTCCTCTGCTCTTAGTACTGCCCCTCTTCTTCCCATCTTTTGATACCACTACCTCCCCTCCCAGCGGTGGGATGCCAGTGTGCTTAGCCATACCATATTTCCAGTTCTGGTCCAAGCCTGTATCTGGCACCTCTGGCTTTGGCAATTTGAATACCTATATGGAGAGAGAGGTAGGGAGAAAGAATTCAGCAGTTAGGACACATTCGAAGGCAAGAAAAGCAGCGTGCTGCAGCAATACAGCAAGAGCCAGGCTCACTGGTGTGCACAGCCCACTGGAGCCAGGTCTATTAACAGCAGAGGAGAGCAGGCCCCTGAACTCACCTATAGACACTTGTAGGAGACGAGAAACAGGGAGGGTAGTCAGACTTTCTTGGACCACCAGTCCACAAATAATAACATAGAGACTTATTAATTATGAAAGCTTCACCTTAGTTTAGGCTTCCAAACTAGCTCTTATAACTTAAATTAACCTGCTTCTATTCTACATTCTGCCAAGTGGCTCGGTTACTTCTCCTCTGTATAGTACATCCAACTTGTGTCTGCCTGTCTCTCTTCATCCCGGAGTTCTCGCTCTTCCTGGAAATCCCACCTCTCCTCTCCTGCCTAGCTCTTGGCCATTCAGCTCTTGATTAAATCCCTCACAGTGACACATCTTCACACAGTATAAACAAGTATTCTGCATCAGGGTAAGGTGGCCTTAGCACTGGGGAGGGCTAAGTCACACCGTGGTAGGTAATCAATTCGCAGACACCAAGACCAGCTTTAGGAAAAAGCGGTAGACAGATGGTGAAGGTTTCCAACTTCAGTATGGTGCCAGCAGCCAGCACTCACACCAAGTTGACAGTTGCTGCCAACATGCAGGCGAGGTACCCCATCTTCACCCCATATACTCTGTCAAGACATAGACTCTGACAAGAAAAGCAGGTCACTATATACTACAAAAAATAAAAACACCTGGACTGGCCAGATAGCTCAGAGGTAAAGGCGCTTGCAGCCAAGCCTGATAACTCAAGTTTACATAGAACAGTGGTCCTCAACTTTCCTAATGCTGCTTGGCTTTAATACAATTTGTCATGCTGTTATGACCCCTAACCATAACATTATTTTCATTGCTACTTCCTAACTGTAATTTTGCTACTGCTATGAATCACAATGTAAATATCAACCATGCAGGATATGTGATATGTGACCCCTGTGAGTCATTCAACCCCAAAGGGCTTGCAACGGATAGGTTGAGAACTGCTGACGTAGACCTACATGGTGGAAGGAGACACCCGACTCCTGCAAGCAGTCCTCTGACCATACGCACACGATGACAAGCATGCGTACATGCAATAAATAATGATAAACGTGGGGTTCTGCTGGCTTTTAAAGCTGACTCTTGCAGTTTAGTCTTCTTACAGAGGCAGCTCAGCACGGAAAACATGAAGTGGGAAATCTGCAGCGACACTCTCCTCTGAGCTGAGAGCTCACCGTTTATCTGCTTTCCTGGTTCAGTATGCATTTTTCCAATGCCCATCTACCAGGAATGTCCTCAGAGACCCTACACCACAGATCCCACGGAAACAGCTCCAAGGACGGACAACTCTGCCCTAGGAGACACTAGAAACCCACCTGATCCTAGAAGATGGCTGAGGGCAATGTCTATCTACCCAGCCAGGCAGGATGCCCCCATCTCCATTCCTGCCTTACTACTCCACGTGTCCCCCAAACTGGGAAGTCCCCCTGAAAGCTCACTAGCGCCAAGTCATTACCCTTTTATCTGTTCCCACACTCTGCGCTGTGAGTCTCTCCTGGGCAAAGTTGTGCACTGGTCTTGAGTGCCATACCCTGATCTTTGTGGACTTTGGGTCCTTCCGGTCCCCCGTCACCCCTAGACTCACTCTTTAAAATCCTCTGGAAATTGCCCTCAAAATCCAGGGCCCACTGGTTGAGTGCACAGGTGGCTACGGTCACCTTCCGGCCCATTCTGGTTTGCAGGCTCCCGGCAGGGACGCAGAACAGACACTGCTCAAAAACCTACAGCGATTCTGCCCGGGCTGCGCCTGCGCAGCGTGTCCTTCCTAGAGGCACCGCCCCTTGGACCGCCATAGCCCCTCCCCTACGCTCGTCATTGCCCGACTTCTTCCCGGCTCCTCGAGAAACGCGCCTTTTACCCGGAAGCCTCGCCCCTCCGCCCTCCTCAGCCACACCCCGCCTCTTTCTTCTGGACACCTAAGCAAAGCATCCTTCGGGAAGGCCCAGCCTCTGGGACAGCCAGGTAGCGCCAGAGAAGCGCGCGTGCGCAGCGAGGTTGTCTCGAAGCCCTGCCTGTGCCTTAAGTCAGAGCGCAGACCCACGCTCCCACCGGTTTTTTCTGGACCTCCTCCATGGACGCTTTAGCCAGGTTTGATTTTGTTATATCATGAAAGACTCATTCCTGCTACCAAAGGTGGCGTCTGGTTTGCTTTCTGTTGCTGTGGTAAACACGCGACCGAAAGCAGCTGGGAGGAAAGGGTTCACTTCACCTTATAGGCCATATAGTCTGTTATGTAGAGAAGTTGAGGCAGAGACTGAAGCAGAGTCCAAAGACTGTTGACCACAGCACAGAGGCTTGCTTCAAAGGTTGCTCAGCCTGCTTTTTTAACACCATTCAGGATCATCAGCCCAGGGGTAGCACCACCCACTGTGGGCCAGGCCCTCCCACATCTATAAACAGTTAAGAAAATGCCTCCTGCTGTGCAGTGGTGGTGCTTGCCTTTAATCCCAGAACTAGGGAGGCAGAGGTAGGCAGATCTCAGTGAGTTCGAGGCCAGCCTAGTCTACTAAGCGAGTTCCAGGAGAGCTAGGACTGTTACATAGAGAAACCCTGTCTCGGAAAAAAACAAACAAAACCTGCCTCAATCTTCTGCACAGGCCAATCTAATGGAGACAGTTCCTCAAGTGAAGTTCCCTCTTCCCAGGCGTTTTTAGTTTGTGTCATGTAAACAAAAACAAGGCAGCACAGTTGGGTAAACACTCCCATATTTACACGTGAGTCACCCGAGGGAGCCCTTTCTCATCCCTAAACTTCTTGCACGCAAGCAAGGTAGATGCTTCTTCAGGTCAGGTCCCTCCTCCTCAGCCCTTTTCCCTCAGACAAAAGCCAATTCAAACCCTTCAGGCTGTTCAAGAAAGTTCTTAGAACAGAGCCTTGCTGGATGGGGTGTAGCCTTGGCTGGACACCTGTGAAAGGGAGGCCCTGTGTGTTAGGAGTTACAGCTCTGAGGGGAAAGGGATCCCCAGGACAGGTGTTGCGGCTCTGAAGGCAAAAGTATCCTGGCAAGTCGGGAGCCGAGGAATACCACGAAGTCCCACCGAGCAACAAACCTCACATAAGAGATTTCTTGGGAAAGACATAAGAGGGTGACTGCCTCTGCTCAGATAAGAAGCGGAGAACTGAGTGGGGAGGCCGGCTTTATATAGGGTTTCTTGGGGGCGGAGCTTTCCAGATTGGAGATTTCCAGGGTGACATTTGGTGGGATTTCAAGTCCTGAGTTTGGGATGAGCCCAGGGATTGGTGGATTTTCAAGCTCAGGGATTAGTAGGTTTTCAAAATCCAGAAGTGGGGTTGGACTTTTTACTATACCCTGTGATTGCACACGTCAGTCTTTAGTTAGAAGCAACTAACTTCTAGAGTTAGAAGCAACTCTCAGGAGCCTGGGAACCATTTTCAGGGAAGGTCTGTCTCCACCATCAGACAACAGACTCTACTGGCCTGGACTGAGGCAAACTGAACTTGTAGGGTAAAAGGTCTAAGTCCACTTTGAAAAGCTACCAAACCCCACCAATCTCTGAGTATAAAATGCCATCAGTTCTTGGCTTGGCTTGGCATGTCACCAATCCCCACCCTGGAAATCTCCTGCTCAGTTCCCTGCTGCTTCTCACTCAAGGAGAGACAGCAACCCTCATGTGTTTCTTCCCATAAGTCTCTTGTGTGAGGTTATTGTTCAGTGTGACTTTATGGTATTCTGTGGCTCCTGACAGCCAGGATACCTTTCCCTTCAGGGTTGTAACATCTGCATTAGGGAAACTTTTCCCCTCAGAGCAGAGCTGGAACACTTCCATTGAGGAAACATTCCCCCTCAGAGAAGCAACACCTCTGTGGTGGTTTGAAAGAAAATGGGCCACCAAAGGGGGTGGCACTATTAGGAGGTAGGCCTTGTTGGAGGAAGTGTGGCTTTGTTGGAGGAAGTGTGTCACTTGTCACTGTGGGGGTTTGCTTTGAGGTCTCTTTTCTTAAGCTTCACTAAGTGTGACAATCAATCAGTTGACTTCCTGTTGCCTGCAAGATGTAGGATTCCCAGCTATTCATCCAGCACCATGACTGCCTGCACGCCACCATGTTCCTCACCATGATGATAATGGACTGAACCTCTGAAACTGTAAGGAAGCCCTCCCCCAACAATTAAACATTTTGTTTATAAGAGTTGCCATGGTCATGGTGTCTCTTCACAGCAATAAAAACCCTACCTAAGACAGCCTCCATTGGGGAAGCCTTGCCCCTCAGTTGTAACACTTGTATTAGGGAAGTGTTCTGAGAACCTGTTCTTACTACTTCTCTAACCCCTGAGACACCCCTCCCCTAAAATCCTTCTGTGTGGCTTTCTTGAATCAGACTTTAAACGTGACTGATTCTGGAGGTCACACAGCTGCACTGTATCCGCTCGTTTTGCCTCTCTGAGATGTGCGGTATGAGGCCAGTGCCTGCTACATTAATTTCCAAGAACTTCAAGGTGGTTTGTTGTTGTTGTTTTATCAAAACCACTTAACTCTTGGACTGGGGAGGTGGCTCAGTTGGTCAAGTGATTGCCTTGCAAGCAGGAGTTTGACTGCTAGAACACAAGTTTCAAAACAAAGCTGTCATGGTGGCAACTGCTCATAATCCTAGCTGTGGGGAGTCAGAGACCACAGGTCTCTGGTGTCTTCCAACCTGCCAGCTTAGTCAACTTAGCACAAGGTCCATACTGGTAAGAGCTCGGCACAAAACAAAACAAAACCCCACAGGTGCTGGGAAATGACACCCAAGTTGCCTTCTGGCTTATACACACACACACACACACACACACACACACACACACACACAACCTCTTGACATGGGCCCACTGGGTGACTGATGGGTGATCTTTTGCTATTAGAAGGCTGAAAACTCCAATCTTAGATCAAACTACAACCATTCTGAGCATACGCTCTCATTAAAACCATGCTTTTACAATGAACACACAGACTACACTCCATTTCACCTCCATCCTTTCTGAATGCCATTCGGTGCCCTGTTCCCTGCTCCATTAATCCTACATTGCAGGAGTAGACAGAAGATTCGGTTGCCCAGCTCTACCCGTGGCTGCCTTGCGAAACTCCTTTCAGTGATTGGCACATTGTGTGGCAGACAATTAGGACCTAGTTTGGTACTGCTCTCAAGGAAAGCTAAGACATACCATTCAAAAACAGTCACACTGGCCAGTTAGTATAGTCAATCAGTGAGACCCAGGTTCAATGAGAGACCCTATCTCAAAGGACAAGATGAAGAGAGATAAGGGAATACCCTTGATATAGGCCTCTCATTTCCACAGGTGCGCATGTGTGCGCGCGCGCGCACTCACACACACGATCCAATTTGAAAGGGTTGCACTAGTCAAATATGAGATAATACAACACAGTGTCAGTAAGTAAAAAAACAAAACAAAACCCACTGGTCCATCCCGATAAAAGTAAGTTAATGGCTTCAGTTGGCAAGATGGGGCAGCAGGGAAAGTGTTTGCTGCGCAAGCCTGGCTACCTGGGTTCAATCCCTGAAACTCACATAAAGGTAGAAAGAGAGAACTGGCTCCACAGAATTGTCCTCTGACCTCCTCACAGGGGTCACAGTATGTGCCCCCCAAATGAACACACAAATAGTGGTTCTCAACCAGATCTCCTACATATCAGATATTTATATTATGATTCATAACAATAGCAAAATTACAGTAACTAAGTAGCAATAAAATAATTTTATGGTTGGGGTCACCACGACATGAGGTGTATTAAAGGATCATAGCTTTAGGAAGGTAGAGGACCACTGCACTAAAGTAATAAATAAGAAATATATTTTTCTGTCTTTTTGACATAGGGTTTCTCTCTGTAGCTCTGGCTGTCTTGTTACTTATTCTGTAGACCACGCTGGTTTCAAACTCACAGAGATCAGCCTGCCTGTGCCTCCCTAGTGCTGGGATTAAAGGCATACGCCACCATTTAATTCTTAAAAAATTTCAAAAGTTAAAGAGTTGAATTCTTGATAGAAAACTATCAAATAATAAATAATAGTTTAATAATAAGGTTGAAGGAATGATGAAATCAAGTCAACTTTTTGTACCAAAAAGTAACCGATGCCCCAAGTGTCCGCAATGAATGCTATGTCACCAGGGTCAAAGGATGCTTGGGAATGTTGTATTTACCAGTCTCAAAGTATCAATCCACTTATTTACTTATTAATCAAGAGAAAGGGGTGTGGGTGGGAGAGATGATTCAGAGATTAAGAGCACTGGCTGTGCTTGCAGAGAATTCAGGTTCGATTCCCAGCACCCATAGGTTGGCTGGAACAACTCCAATTCCAGGGGTGACCATGTATGTATGCATGCATTCATGTATGTGTGTATGTATGCATGCAAAGGCTGCGAGGTACCTTGGAACTGAAGTTACTGATGGATATGCTACCAGGTAGGTGCTGGGGATTGTAACCCTAGTCCTCTGGAAAATCAGCGAGTACTCTTAATTGCTGAGCCATCTCTCCAGCTCCCACCCCATATTCTGCATAACCTATTATTCTATAAAATGTGTACCCTGACTGGATCCCGGGGTTTGAGAAAAGAGCTATAAAGGACATTGTTGGGCAGCTGGGGCACCAGCAGGCAGACAGTGTTTAGCAGTGCTGAAGTCATTTATGTTTTCCGTTTGTTTTGTTGTGGCAGCAGAGGAAACTGTCCCTGGCTGGGGGTGGAGATGAGGGTGGGGGCGAGGGAGTGGGGGTGGCGGGGTGGGGGTACTACAAC